CGTACGGTGGGGTGCTCCTAGGGGTCAACAAACAACACTCATTCTACAGAATCGACCTTCTTCCAGTGTCAGGTATTGAAATTGTCGCATGTCAGGTGAATATTAGAGGTAAAACCTTCAGTATTACCTCGTTATACATCCCTCCGAGAACGGCTGTTTCTCGGCGAGCGCTATCTGACATCTGCTCAGTGCTACCTGAGCCGCGGTTGATCTTAGGGGATTTTAATTCCCACGGTACAGGCTGGGGAGAGCTGTATGATGACAACCGCTCAACCATCATCTATGACCTATGCGACGATTTCAATATGACCATTCTAAACACCGGTGAAGTAACTCGAATAGCCAAACCTCCAGCAAGAGAGAGCAGACTAGACTTGTCACTCTGTTCGAACTCACTATCATTGGAATGCATGTGGGAGGTAATCCAAGACCCCTATGGTAGTGATCATTTGCCCATCAAAATTTCGATTTTCAACGGTTCATCTTCACAGTGTCCAATCAACATCGCGTACGATCTCACGAGAAACATCAATTGGGAAGAATACGCGAACGCGGTCCGTGACGGTTCAGAATCGGTCGACGTTCTCTCTCCATTGGATGAGTACTCCTTCCTATCGCGGCTCATAGTGGATTGCGCGCTTCAAGCACAAACGAAGCCTGTTCCTGGCACTACCATTCGCAAACGTCCTCCCACTGTGTGGTGGGAATGCACCGACGTGAATAAAGAGAAGTCTACCGCGTTTAAACAGTTTCGTAAATACGGTTCCCGCGAATACTTTGAGCGGTATACGGAGCTAGAGGAAAAGTTTAAGAGCTTGGTCAGGGCCGCTGGAAAACGATGACATGGACTCCCCGTTTTTGATGGTAGAATTCTCAATTGCTCTTCTTTCATGCAATAACTCAGCTCCGGGAATTGATCGAATCAAGTTCAACCTGCTCAAGAACCTCCCAGAAGTCACAAAGAGGCGATTGTTGAACTTATTCAATCGATTCCTTGAGCTCAACGTTGTTCCGGATGATTGGAGACAAGTGAGAGTTATCGCCATCCAGAAGCCCGGTAAACCCGCTTCGGATCATAATTCGTACCGTCCCATCGCGATGCTGTCGTGTATTCGGAAGCTGTTAGAAAAAATGATTCTTCTTCGTCTGGACAAGTGGGTCGAGGCGAATGGCTTACTCTCAGATACGCAATTTGGATTCCGTAGGGGCAAAGGGACGAACGACTGCATTGCGTTGCTTTCAACTGAAATCCAATTAGCCTATGCTGAAAAACAGCAGATGGGTTCAGTTTTCTTGGACATTAAAGGGGCGTTTGATTCTGTTTGCATCGACATCCTTTCGGACAAACTCCATGCGAGTGGGCTTTCTCCGATTATCAACAATTTCCTGTTTAATTTGTTGTCCGAGAAACGAATGAGCTTCTCTCATGGCAACACGGAAATTGCACGAATCAGCTACATGGGTCTTCCACAAGACTCATGTTTAAGTCCCCTCCTGTACAACTTCTATGTCAAAGACATTGATGAATGTCTGGCCGAAAATTGCACGCTAAGGCAGCTTGCAGATGACGGCGTGGTTTCCATGGTTGGACCAACAGCACCGGACCTGCAAGGACCATTGCAAGATACCTTGGATAATTTGTCTACTTGGGCAATGAATCTGGGTATCGAATTCTCTCCGGAGAAAACAGAGATGGTTGTTTTTTCTAGGAAGCTTTATCCAGCACAGTTTCAGCTTCAACTTATGGGTAGAACAATCACTCACAGCATGTCGTTTAAGTATTTAGGTGTCTGGTTCGATTCCAAGTGCACTTGGGGAAAACACATAGCGTATCTGAGGCAGAGATGCCAACAGCGAATCAATTTCCTTCGTTCCATTACCGGCACTTCATGGGGAGCCCATCCGGAAGATCTGATAAGACTCTACAAGACCACCATTCTCTCGATTTTGGAGTACGGTAGCTTTTGCTTTCAATCGGCGGCGGGGACGCACATATTGAAGCTCCAAAGGATTCAATATCGTTGCATTCGAATCGCGCTAGGTTGTATGCAATCGACGCATACCATGAGTCTTGAAGTTCTTGCGGGCGTCCTCCCCTTAACAAATCGTTTTGCGGATTTATCGTTCCGGTTCCTCATCCGCTGTGAAGTCATGAACCCGCTGGTGATCGAAAACTTTGAGAAGCTGCTAGAGCGGAATCCTCAAACACGATTCATGAGCTTGTACTACGAGTACATGACTCTGGACATCGTCCCCTCCTCGTTCAACCCCAATCGCGCTGTCTCCCATCATTTCAGTGGTTCTTCCGTGAGATTCGATCTCACAATGAGGCAGGAGATTCAAGGAATTCCAGAGCCTCACCGTGCCCTGATTGTCCCAACTATTTTTGCGAACAAATACCGCCACGTCCCCACCGAGAAGAGATTTTTCACAGATGGGTCGGTGATAAATGCGTCCACTGGTTTTGGAGTATTCCACGATCTTCATAGCGCCTCATACAAGCTTCAAAAGCCGTGTTCGGTATACGTTGCTGAACTAGCAGCTATATCGTACACGTTAGAGCGTATTGCCTCACTTCCACCTGACCATTATTTCATTTTTACGGATAGCCTAAGCTCCCTGGAGGCTATGCGTTCAATGAGGCCGATGAAGCACTCGGCGTATTTCCTCCAGGAAATACGATCGTCATTGAGTACTTTATCAAACAGCTCACATGTCATCACCTTGGTATGGGTCCCTTCTCATTGCTCTATCCCGGGCAATGAGAAAGCGGACTCGCTGGCCAAGGTGGGCGCTATGGAAGGCGATATTTACGAGCGACAAATCGCCTACCACGAATATTTCACGATTTCTCGTCAGCAAGTCCTCGCCAACTGGCAACAAAAGTGGAATGATGGTGATCTGGGAAGATGGCTACATTCTATTGTCCCACAGGTGTCGATCAAACCCTGGTTCAAAGGGTTGGATATGAGTCGTGATTTTATTCGTGTAATGTCCAGGCTCATGTCCAATCACTGTTCGTTAAACGCCCACCTCTTCCGTATTACGCTTGCCGACAGCAACTTGTGCACCTGTGGAAACGGTTATCACGACATCGAGCATGTTGTTTGGTCCTGCTCCTTGCATCATGAGGCGAGATCCGTTCTGTGTGATTCCCTTAGGGTCCGAGGAAAACAACCCTTTAAGCCAATTAGAGACGTCTTGGCTTGCCGTGATATCGACTTTATGAAGCTTATTTACGACTTTCTTAAAGCTGTTGATTTATGTGTTTAGTGTTTTGTGTTTTAGTCATCCTTTACGTTTAAGTTTTAAATTAGTTCAAAATGCTTTCCCTTGTCCTCCCTCCAAATGATAAATAAATGTAATCCCTAATCTCGAGTAAACCGCGAGTAATCGGCCCCCGTTCTACTAACATTAGTTGTAAGAAAATGATATTCACACACAATTATGTAAAAATATTCGGCTCCGCAAAGCTAACGCATTTGAGCCTTGACAAATAAATGGATTATAAAAAAAAAAAACTATTTTGAAGTGAAGTTGGAAAAATTAGTGTTAATTTCTGTTACATATGATGCATATAAATGGAGCGTTATACCAACCATCATTACGAAACTAACGATTTTAAATTGGCTCACTACTTGACTAGCCTATTGGTCCCAAGCAAACGATTAACGTACCTCATTCAAGTCGAAATTCTACTACTACACAATGTTTGTATTGATTTGCTATGAAAGTTTGACAGATACAATGAGTGGTTAGTGGATTTTTCTATGTTCCGAGGGGTGAATCGATTAGCTTGGGACCGAAGAGAGTACCAGAGCTGAGCCAAAAAGTTGAGCACGTTTCTTCGCGACCTTCAGGTCTTACAGTTACCTCTATAGTTATTAGACTGATGCAAAATTTGACTTTTTCGCTCCACAGTGCTTAAATGGTTTCAAATCGGATCCTGATTAGCCTCCCAAAGTTACAACTCATTTGGTTAGAAACAGACTTCGCACAAGCCATTTGAAGTTTACATGTAAATTACTATGGGAAATCTCAACTTTTTGTTCATTGCCTTCTAGTCTTTTTCCATATTGAGCTGCGAAACAGTTCGATAGCCATTATTAAAGAAAATTTTCTCAGCTACAATTTTGCTGAAGATCGTTTCTATGTAAAACGAGACAGGAAAAAGTTATTAATTATTTAAGAGATTGGTAAACTTGTGACATAATCAAGCAGCTGCTCTGTAGGCAACACTGTATTTTGCAGTGTGACATAGTAGCCATGATTTTTGTGTCCTATTCAACGCCCCAGAAACACCAATGTTGCCTGCTGAGCAGTTGATTGAGCATGATCATTAGACATCAGCGCATTGAACCATTGATAACTTTCGATCCTTGCATTTAATCAACAAGTGGTAGCTTAGTGGTAATCTGGTAACAAGTGGTAATGGTGGTAACAAGTGGTAATCTTGAGCAAAGTTGTAGCTGGGAAAATTTCCTAAAAGTACAATTGAAAGTTTTTGAAGCAGACCGATATGGTGAATTATTAGATAGACATGAACAAAAATCTTGGTTTTACCATAGTAATTCCCATACAAACTTCAAATGGTTTGTGCCATCTCAGTTTCTCACCTAATGGGGTCAAATTTTGAGAGGCTAGTCAGGATCCGATTTGGAATCGTTTAAGTATTGTGGAGCGAAAATTTCAAATTTTGCATCACTCTAATAGTTATACATCATTCAACAGTCGGGAAGACATTCCACTTTTCTATGATGATACTATGGGAGAGCATAGTGTGGATTATTTTGCCAACGAAATTGAATTTACTATCAACTCTTATTATACAACTGTAAATTTGTTTGGTATTTTTCCAATTGCAATCAGCTCATACCTTCCCTGCAATTTATACTTTGGTCATAATGCGGAGATTTCGTGAATTTAAATTATAATCTCAATTTATTCAACCATTAAATCAGATCAAATTGCGGCATGCAATGAGTCTGAGCCCTACTCACATTGTAGATGCCATATATAAACGGATTATAGCAGCTGTTGCTCATAGCGAGCCAATCGCAAACGAACCAAATGATGTTGATGTATCGGTACCTGTGGAAATCGAAATGGAAATGCAGTGAGTATGAGAAACTAATTTTAATCATTTAATTGCATTATAATTCGCAAAACGTTCATTACTTACGCGTTCACCTCGGGCCACGTGACATGCAGGACGTTGTACAGTTGCAGCGGAAACCAGCAGAAAGCAAACAGCGCCACCACGATTATCAACATCTTGATGACCTGTGTAAATGGAACGGCGTTCGTGTTTAGTGTGACTGATAGTAGCTCGCTCACATTCGTACCTTTTTCTTGTTCTTCAGCATCGTTATGTCCCGGGAGTCCTGTGCATTGCCGGGTGTTTTCGAGCCCCACAACCGCAGAGCCATCTGAATGTAGACGAAGCTGATGACGCACAGTGGGACGAAGTACTGCACCAAAGTCAGGATGTACCGGTAGAGTAGCATCTCGGACTCCTCGAAGTTGACCACTTGGCAGAATGGTTTCGTGATGTTGACGTAGGTTTCGTTGGTTTCGTCTATCGGTAGGGTTGAGATGGAAAGTTACAATGGGTCTTTATTGGAAAAATCGCAATATCGACAACTCACTGAGACTGACTATTGATATAGGAACCACCCGCAGAGCAAACAGGGTCGGTGCGGCCAGCGCAAACGACAGCATCCAGATGGCACTGATGACGAATTTGGAGATGTTTTTTGATGCACGTGCCCTGCAAATGGGGTTTTCATTTTAGATACAGTTCCCAACAAAGTAGGAGCATCTTCTACCTAAGCGGATTTATTATGGCCCGATGTCGGTCGACGGCAATAGCCGTCAAGGTAAAGACTGAAACGTTGACGCTCAGCAGTTGCACAAACGGGCAAAACGGACACATAAAATCCGGCAGGTTCCACCGCTGCAGAACGGCCGCCTGAAATTGGAACGGGATGGCAAACATTCCAATGGTGACGTCCGCCAGGGCCAGGTTAGCTATGAACATGTTTGTAATCGTTTGCATTTGCTTGGTCGTCAGGACGATCCATATCACCAACGAGTTTCCTATCACAGCTAGAATACTGATTGTACCGTAGAAAATCGATAGCAGCACGATCAGCCCCACCGGAACATCATACAGAACATCTGCGGGGGATGGGAACGGTGGGGAAAGGTGGGACGGTTTATTTTCAGATTTTGTTAGCACTTCTCGAAATGGACGCAGTGTGCGATTATTACGACTTACCTTGCTCATGGATGATTTCTACATCGCTACTATTCAGTGTGATGTTGTTTGCATAATGAAAGGCGATTCCGTCTGCAACTCGCATTCTGAAAGGAGGAGAGAGAATGAAATGGAAGTGTTTCAAAAGCGTATCGGAATCGTTGAGCTGTACATATTTAAATTTAAATTTTCGATAGATGAAAATGGACTTGTTGAATCGCACCATCGCATGCCGTACTATAACGGAACCATCAACTCTATACTTTCATCTCATCATCTATCGTATAAAACGTCCACTTTAAGGGTGATATTTGACGTTAAGCATCTCCAACTATTAATGGATAGATAGAGCCTTTCGATTCTTAGTTAGTTAATTAGTTAATTGAAGAAATGCTCAAGGTAACAAAAGTAAGAATCGTCTTTTTGAGCCTGTTTTTGTTATGGTAAATGCAGTCATAGTTTTACCTGTAGTAAATCTACGTAGCGTTTTAGTTTGTATTGGATACACTGGATTAGGCGCATTTTTTTAAATAAATTATTGCATTTTTAAAGATGAGCTATTTTAAAAGGGAATTGTCATTAAGAAATTTCTCGCTCGCGGAATCAATCTTACTCATCCATTTTGCTTTTGAATCAGCTGGAGAACAGAAGTGCGCGATTGTTCTTATTTTTTCAAGTTTGAGTTAGTTGAGTTTCATACGTTAAAGTTTTCCTAGAAGCAAAACTTACTTTAGGTTACAAGTAGTGAGTGAGTTTTTTTTTCATAAAGTGGTTTAAGAAAAGTTTATTTCATAAATTTAAATTAAGTTGACTTCCTCCTGGTCTTCCTGTGAATTCCATTCGAATATTCCTGTAGATCTTCCTCTGGACTTGCTTCATATCAACCTTCATCCATATCTATCAACTTCTTCCAGCTCTTTTTGTAGACTTCATCCAGATCTTCCTGTGAACATTCCCCAGCAGAACAGTGGAATTCCTCCTGCTAAAGTCCTGTGCTCCATCAGCACTATTCTATTTGGAAATTCCCTTCCTGTGAACTTTCGGTGTAATTTCTGCAGAACACCAGTAGGATTCCTGCTCTTAAAGTTATTTGGCGTATAGTACTACTCTATTTGGGAATTCCCGACTACAATTCCTTTAACTTCTCTTCGGAAGTTGCATCATATTCTCTTCGGAAGTTCCTTCAGCTTCTTTTCGGAAGTTCCTTCAGCTTCTTTTCGGAAGTTCCTTGCATTTCCCTTCGGTAGTTCTTTCACCTCCCATTTGGAAGATCCTGAAACTAGTTACTTTAGGAAGTTCCCTTCGGATGTGTGGTGGATATAGTTGGTGTGAAATAATAATATTAAAATAAATATATAAAAACTTGAGAGTTGTGTCAAGTAATGATACACTCCATTTGAGTTGAACTAAATTAGCGTGAAGCTTGACAGATGTGAGGGGAATAACTGGCAAAGCAAGCAGTGCTGGATAAAGAGGAGAAAATTTGGAGGGTATAAATATGAGCTATGTAAGCTCGTTAACGACATTCTTGTAACTAACTTTGGCAGCGAAGGACATCAGCAGCAGCAGCAGCAGTAACAACATCAGCAGCAGCAGTAATGGAAGCGGAGCAGCATCACTGATTTGTGAAGCTGTTGTACCTGATTAACGGGATGCTGTTTGTTCAGACATGGCTGAGGCTGGAAACCTCGGTCAGGTCACGACAATGGCGCAGTTGGTAGATTGCTAGGTGCTAGCTACAATTTAGTGAAAAAGTAAGTATAGTGGAATAAAAACTACTCTCCGACGGAAGGGCGGAGTAGTAGAAATGTTTCCCGGTAGGCTCCCAGGGAGTAGGCCGGGAGATAAGACCGAGTAAAGAAAAAATCCCGTCGGAAGGGCGGTGTATTGGAAAACGTCTCCGGTAGGCTCACTGACGAAAGGGCAGTGGAGTAGGCCGGGAGATTAAAAAAAATAGATTGATAATGAAAATGTTCCCGGTAGGCTCTCTGACGGAAGGACAGTGGAGTAAGCCGGGAGATTTATAAAAAAAAAGAAACTAAACCTCTTTATGTAGAGGAGATGATGTCTTCGGTAGGCTCCCTGATATCATAAGCAGTGGAGTAGGCCGGTGGACGATAGCAAATCAAACATGAACAATAAATTTTCCCTGATTGGAAGAATTGGGAGGTGAAAATAAAAACAAACTTCTCATAATTAGCGCAGTGAAAGTCCGGTAGGCATCCTGATGGAGGTAGGCCGTTACATCGGAACATAGAATGTTGATGGCAATGTTGATGATGAAGTGTGATCATGACAATGTTGATGATAATGATTGTGATAGCTACGTTGAAATTGAAGTTTATGAAAATGTTAAAGTGCAGAGTTGAAGCTAATATTGACATTGAAAGTGATCATTATTTTGATGGCAAAATTTAAGTTTTTTGATATTGAAATTAACGATGAAAGTAGAGATATATTTTAAAGTCGACAGATTAATTGAAAATGGTTCTAATGTTGGAGTTTTGGCAACGTTGAAGTAAAGATAGCGATTTTTTTAATATGTTGTCGAGGTTAAAGTTGACGGCTTTGTTGATGTGGTCATTCTAAAGTTGAAGTTAATTTCAATGTTAAAGATGGTAGCCATAATGATGATTAGGTTAATAAAAATAGAATGAGGGAATAATAGCAACCGATGGAAACTAACAAGTAACAATTTTGGTTTTATGAGTGTTCTATAAACAATCGTGCAGACTTATAGAATGCTATAGAACCTCTATAAAGCTTGCAATGTTACTTGGGCGAAGAGAATACCAGAGCTGAGGCAAAAAAGTTGAGCACGTTTCTTCGGGACCTTCTCGTCTTAGAGTTACCCTTTATGATAATAGTGAATGATCGAATTGAGCGTGAGGGTTCAGTTGTCAATACACAACTCAAACGTGATGATGAGCGGACATGAGGTGACATTTTTGACTAACTAAAACTCAAAGCTACTGTAGCTGATATCCGATAAAGTTGTGGAATCGATTGAGCTAAATGTCGAAAACAAAACAAATGAGAACGGATGAGGGGTTAGTGATTTGTAAAATGATGTTGAAGTTGGTGGTTTTATATAAGTTTATTGCAATGTTAAAGTTGATGAGGATGTGGCAATTGAAATGTATGTTCAAATATACGGATATAAATTTAAAAAAAATATAGTATTGAAAATGATAGTGTTGTTGAAGTTAAACAATATATGTTACCATTCAACATTGAATTTGATAAAGAGTTAAAAGATGTTGGCAATATTGAAGATGACGGTAATGATACTTGTAATTGTGAAAATTGAATTGTAGTTGATGAATTGATTGACCTGGTTAATGCAAACGAAGTTATATTGAAGGGCATATTAGCATTGTGAATCATTTGAAAAAAAAAATTGCATCCGCTATCACAGAGTTCTTCTACAGCTGTCAAAGTTCCAGTGTGCTGTTTATTAAAAAAATTAACACAGTGTGCATTGACAAATTTAAAGTATTTTACTGGCGATTCTCTGCAAATCTTAAAGATTCGATTGAACATCTTTTTTATTTAACTTATGACGAGAGGATGTAATTTTAGGTCAGAGTCAACGTTGAAGTCGATTGGCAATGATAATGATTTGGGCGAATTGGGCTGTATGATGACGTTGAGATTGATGGCATAATAGAAGGTGATAGGAATGTTAAACAAACTGACTATTATATTACATGTAATGATGATACTAAAGATACTGTTTAAATTGATTACGCATTTGAAGTAGATGCAATGTTAAAGGTAATGCTCATGATTGAATTTATGTGAATGTTGAAATTCATACATATGTTGACGCTGATGTTTGTGTTGTAGATGACAGCAATGATAAAGTTAATGATAATTTTGAAGTTGATGATGAAACTGAAGTTAATGATAAACACTCGTATGTTTAAGACATGCCATTTTTTTTTAACGATAGTAACACTGATGATGACAGTAATAAGTTAACCGTTAAGTTGCATTTGCAGGCAATGTGGAATATATTAATTATTGCAAGCTTGAAGTGATTGTAAATTTTCATGAACACGGTTATGTTCAACTTTATCTCTATGCTGTAGTTCGTTTTATGTTGATGTTTATAGCGTTTTGGAAATTTATGATAGTATTGAAATTAATGATGATGATAATACTGAAGATAATGGAAAAAGTTGAAATTGATGTCATTGTTGTAGTTAATGTAGAAATGAGGAATTTTATAATAATAATTAATAAAAACAATATGCTTGAATACTGTTTTGGTTGTATAAGTTAGCAAAAACAAAATAATTTTGCAAATTTACTCTAGAGTACAGGAGGGGAAGAATGTGGTGGATATAGTTGGTGTGAAATAATAATATTAAAATAAATATATAAAAACTTGAGAGTTGTGTCAAGTAATGATACACTCCATTTGAGTTGAACTAAATTAGCGTGAAGCTTGACAGATGTGAGGGGAATAACTGGCAAAGCAAGCAGTGCTGGATAAAGAGGAGAAAATTTGGAGGGTATAAATATGAGCTATGTAAGCTCGTTAACGACATTCTTGTAACTAACTTTGGCAGCGAAGGACATCAGCAGCAGCAGCAGCAGTAACAACATCAGCAGCAGCAGTAATGGAAGCGGAGCAGCATCACTGATTTGTGAAGCTGTTGTACCTGATTAACGGGATGCTGTTTGTTCAGACATGGCTGAGGCTGGAAACCTCGGTCAGGTCACGACAGGATGTTCCTTGAATCTTTCCCTTATCAAAAACTACCATCAAGTTTTCGAACTTTTGCACCTTTGTTCTTCTTCCAGATTTTCTGGTGGATTTCATCCAAATCTTCCTGGGAGCGACATCCGGATCTTTTTGTGGACGTCCTGTGGATATCCTCCATATCTTCTTTTGGACTTCCTCCATATCTTCCATTGTACTTAGGTATCGTCCATTAATTATGTCACACTTTTAAGGGGGAGGGTTTTTTTGGAAACTGTAACGAGCCATACAAAAAATAATAATGTCCATATAAAAAACGTAACAGAGGTGGGAGCGGGGTGGGCATGAAAAGGGGCCAAATTTGCGTGACATAATTAATGATGTGAAGTATCCTGC